AATAGCTTCATACCCTGGGCATTTTGAGCCTTTGACAGATGTGAGATAAAACAGTTACTCAGATAGCAGCTTCATGTTTTGGGCATTTTAAGCCTTGGACAGATGTGAGATAAAACAGTTACTCAGACAATAGCTTCATACCCTGGGCATTTTGAGCCTTAGACAGATGTGATATAAAATAGTTACTCAGATAGTAGCTTCTTTCCCTTCGCATTTTGAGCCTTGGACAGATGTGAGATAAAACAGTTACTCAGACAGTAGCTTCATTCTCTGGGCATTTTGAGCATTGGACAGTTGTGAGAGAAAACAGCTACTCAGTCAGTAGCTTCATGTCTTGGGCATTTTGAGCTTTGAACGGATGTGAGATAAAACAGTTACTTAGTCAGTAGCTTCATGTCTTGGCCATTTTGAGCCTTAGACATATGTGAGATAAAACAGTTACTCAGACAGTAGCTTCATGTCCTGGTCATTTTGGGCCTCAGAAATATGTGAGATAAAACAGTTACTCAGTCAGTAGCTTCATTCTCTGGGCATTTTGAGCACCGGACAGTTGTGAGATAAAACAGTTACTCAGTCTGTAGCTTCATGCCCTGGGTATTTTAAGCCTTCGACAGATGCGAGATAAAACAGTTACTCAGTCAGTAGCTTCATTCTCTGGGCATTTTGAGCCTTGGATAGATGTGAGTTAAAAGAGTTACTCAGACAGTAGCTTTCTGTCCTGGGCATTTTGAGCCTTGGACAAATGCGAGATAAAACAGTTATTCAGACAGTAGCTTCATTCTCTGGGCATTTTGAGCCTCGGGCAGTTGTGAGATAAAATAGTTACTCAGTCAGTAACTTCATGTCTTGGGCATTTTGAGCCGAGGAAAGATGGTAGATAAAACAGTTAGTCAGTAGCTTCATGTGTTGGGCATTTTGAGCCCTGGACAGATGTGAGATAGAACGGTTACTCAGTCAGTAGCTTCGTGTGTTGGGCATTTTGAACCTTGGACAGATGTGAGATAAAACAGTTACTCAGTCAGTAGGTTTGTGCCGTGGGCATTTGAGCCTTGGAGAGATGCGAGATAAAACAGTTACTCAGACAGTAGCTTCATGTCTTGGGCATTTTGAGCCTTGGACAGATGTGACATAAAACATTTACTCAGACAGTCGCCTCATGCTCTGGGCAATTTGAGCCTTCGAGCCTTATACAGTATGTACATAGCACTTAAGCTACTACTATGTAACATTAAAATCTTCACAATTATATATAATCTTGCAACAGTTTTGACAAAACAACTAGTCATCATTGCTCATGTTGTATGTTTATGAAAGAAGTTATTGAAAAGACCATATTCATTACTGTGTACCTGGTCTACATAAAGAAACAAGTGAAAGTTAAAGTAGAAATTAAATATGTTTTATTTCAGGCAACGAACACTATACTTGAAATCGTAGGAAAGCTTCTATCAGCAGCGTGTGAAATGAAAGCATCTTCTTTAACTTCTTCTTCAGAAAACACCTATAGTGATACCTCTTTTTCGAGCCCAGAGAATGAAGAAGGACTTTTATCCCAAGAAAATCAGGTACATAAAGAATAACTAAAAATGTATTTACTGTACACTATATCGTCAGTCACCAGAACTTGTGTATCAGCCATGAAAGCTCAGTTTGTTTGTTAAATAAAGATACAACATACTTTCAAGTATATGCTCACAGCCATGTGAGCAAGACAATATGTTTTTTCTTCAGTATTCTTAGAGTAACAGTAATTTTTAATTTTTTGGCAGTTTTTTCAGGTAAACCAGAGTTCTATTTTTGTTTCAAAAACAACTTATAAACACATGTTTTTTACAGGATTTAGGAAATCAAGAATGTAAATCCTCAGAGGGAAATATTACACGGGTTCATTTGGAACTATTTGGTAACTGGGGACATCCAGACAAGATTGGCCTGACTGAAGTTCAGTTTTATGATTCTTCAGGAACGTTGTTAAGTTTAAAACCAGTAGATGTTAGTATAGAAGGAGTTGAAGATGTATCGATGGGAGTTGAAAATCTGGTGAATGGAAAAACAAAAGTAAGTGGAATAAAAAAATTAAAAGTTTTAAAATTTCTTTCACTGACACTCCTTGATGTACAATTTTGCTTCCTTCATTTAAAGCTTCTAAACCTTTTTTCCATAATAGTTCTCAAATGTGTTTATTATACTGTTAAGTCTCTGGTCGTTAGTTAATTTTCCGTAAAAATTATTTCCGAAGAAACTTTAGCGGTACAAATCCTTTCTTAAATAAAACTGGTTTCTTCTTTCTGAATACAACTTTGCAATACACTTAATTTCCACAGTCACGCTATAACAAACACTATAATTCACAACGAATGACTCACGTGCTCGACTCAACTGTCCGTCTCTATCTCTGTCTGCAGTTCAATTACATTCCATTGTTGCCGTCACTTCTTACCGGTCTTATATACAGAAGAATACCGCAAATCTAGTAAACACTTGAGGATTCACGAACCTTCGAGAATATGATGTGTTACTAGCGTCACGTGACCCCTGCTGTCTTAACAATACTTTTGTTTCTCGTTTTTAATGATATGAAAAAATATTACTTTTATTTTCTTGTTTTTTTTACCTAGTTAGGCCTACTTGTCAACTTTAAGTTTTCAGTTTACTTGATTTCTTTTATATAATGATTGGATTTTTAATTTCTTTCTTTTCTGATTTTACTGTTCATTAAAACAGATGCTGTAGACTTGTTGTCTGATTTTACTGTTCATTAAAACAGATGCTGTAGACTTGTTGTCTGATTTGGCTGTTCATTAAAACAGCTACTATAGACTTTTAATCTGATTTTACTGTTCATTAAAACAGTTACTGTAGACTTTTTGTCTGATTTTACTGTTCATTAAAACAGTTACTGTATACTTGTTGTCTGATTTTACTGTTCATTAAAACAGTTACTCTAGACTTGTCCAATTTTATTCTTCATTAAAACAGTTACTTTAGACTTTTTGTCTGATTTTACTGTTCATTAAAACAGTTACTGTATACTTGTTGTCTGATTTTACTGTTCATTAAAACAGTTACTCTAGACTTGTTGTCCAATTTTATTCTTCATTAAAACAGTTACTTTAGACTTTATGTCTGATATTACTGTTCATTAAAACAGTTACTGTAGACTTGTCTGTTTTTCCTCTTTAATAAAACAGTTAACCTACTCCAGATGGATCACAGGTCAATGGCCATGTCATTGCGTTTGTTGACACGCATTCAAAATTTTATCAAACTACTTATGTCAATAAGTTTTGTATCAAACTATAGAATATGATCCAAATTTTAGTATCATATATTATTTAATTTCTTAATTTACAAGTAAATATTAAAGAAACACAGTTAAACATCGATTTTTGAGTGTCACGTGGTATGTTGAATGCAGCACTGGCTCAAATTAGATGTTTGTGATGTCAAAATACTAAGTCTGTAGTTACTGAAATTACTGATATTGACAAGGTAGTATATAAAATAAGAGCCTCTTATCTTTTCAATTTACATGGTTTGTCCCTGAAGAAGAAAGGTACACCTTTCAAAAGTGCTCGGGTTATAGGATTTTTATTCATTTCTATAAATGTATAATGTTATGAGATTTAAGCTATTTAGTCTAAACATTTATGTTTTCATGTTATAATTTGTTGTTATTCTAGAACGAAAGAGGCATAATTTATATTTAATTCCTAATTTTTTATGGTGGTTACAAGATTGGTCAAATCTACCGAACCTGTACAGAGATTCGTTAGTGAACATAACAAATAAAATATAAAGTTTTTTCTTAAGAAATGTTTGATGACTATCTGGACATTATAAAGATTTTGCATGTGAAATTTGAAAATTTTCTGATACATAAACGTATTTTTAATCTTAAAATGAAAATTACTTTACATGTTGGAACATGCAACATGCAAAAAAAAAAAAGGCATGAGAAAAACATTGCTTAACAAACCTTATGACATAATGAAAACATTTTATATTTTGCATATAAAAGCATTGTAATGTTTACTGATAATCAGCCAATTTTCGTTAACATCAGTTTATTAATTTAAAATTTATAGCATGAATACTATAACAAGCACAAAATGGTTACAAGGTTGGTCCCAGAGACCAAGCCCATGCAGAAAGAGTTACCGTAGACTTGTTGTCTGATTTTGCTGTTCGTTAAAACAGTTGCTGTAGACTTGTCTGATTTTAATGTTCACTAAAAGAGTTACTGTAGACTTGTTGTCTGATTTTACTGGTCATTAAAACAGTTACTTTAGGCTTGTTATGAGATATTATTGTTGCTGTTGGCTTGTTATATGATGTTACTGTTCATTAAAACTGTTACTACTGATGTGTTATCTTCTTGTCAAGCAGTAGAGCTATTAGCTTATCAGTAAACAAACTAGCCATTAAGTGCTAACAGAATCATTTTTATACTAACAATTCAGAAAATAGCTAGAATGTGACAGAAAAAATACACCATTTAAGAACAATGTTTCGCAACATGGCATCATCAACTACTTTATGAAGCCACGTTAACACTGGCAAAACGGTGTTTTTAAATGATATATATATATATATATATATTTTTGTTCCGTCTCATTCTAGCTGTTTTTTGAATTTTAAAATTTGTTAGTGTGGGATACCTCCAACATTTATATTTTATTTTTATACCAGTTAGCAATGTGATTTATAAACAAAGTTTCTGTTTATCAAAGCCTGAGTCATTTCAAGTAATGCTAGGCTTAGAAACCTTGCCCTATTATGCTAGTAAAGTATTCTTACAACAGCGGAAGTCACGTGACGCTAGTAACACGTCATGATATTCTCGAAGGTTCTTGAATGCTCGAGTGTTTACTAGATGTGTGGTATTCTTGTATATAAGACTGCCAAGAAGTGACGGCAACAAAGGAATTGAATTGCAGACAGAGATAGAGACGGAAAATTGAGTCAAGCGCGTGAATCATTCGTTGTGAATTCTAGCATTTGTT